TAGTTGATATGTAATTACTTATATAAATTAATCAATAAAGATATGAGCAAGGCCTCACCTTAATACCAAAAAAAAAATAAAATAAATAAAAGTGATTATGTTTTTTAAAAGAAAAATATGATCAGATTTTTGATACAAGTAATTGTCAAAAGGAGTTGCAAGATTATTTTTTCAATTTTGTTTTGTTTTTATATATTGGTTTTTTGATTAGATATACAATAATTCTCTCTTTATTACTTTCTTGAAAATTTTTTCTCAACGCTTTATATTATCTATTAATAGAAAGCTAAGTGAAAAAAATAAAAAAATTGTAGTAGTTGAGTACCAGTCTTTTAAATATGTATACCAATCAAATTTAATAAAATTACGTAGTACGCGATTATCAAAGAAATATATATATATATTATTTAGAGCTTACAAATTAGGCTAAGCTGTGTATTTAAAGAAAATTTATACATTTATAAATTGTATATTAACTTCTAACTGTATTAAAAATAAAAAGGCGATGCATATTTAACTCCATTAGTTATACATATGTGTTATTTATTTATTTATTTATTATTGAAAAGAGTTTAAATTATGGATTTGAAACTTTTTTTCAATAAAAAAAAGAGAAATAAAAAAAAGGCTCAAATCAAAAAAAATCTAACTCTTGCAAGTGAAATAATTTATAAATAAAAAAAAATTTACATGAAAGTTTGAAGTTTAACCCTCTAGTTCTTTATGATGACATGTTCATATTGTTATGTATATCCTGTATACAAAAAAAAAAAAAATAGTTCACATATTAACCCCAACAATGATAATGTAATATTATGTAAAGAATCGATGAAAGAAAGAAAAAAAATTTTTTTCTCCAAATAAACCGTAAAAAATTGTCCATTATAACATGGCAATCAATAAATCAATAATCAAAGATGCTAAATTACTATTACTTTCTAGTTCTAAACTAGAAATAAAAAAATAATAAAAGTTCTAATAATCTATTATCATTGATTTTAACCGATTTGAAAAGTTCTTGAGTTTGGTAATATTTAACAATATTTAACCGAAAAGGGTTATTATCCCAAAAGAAGCAAAAATTCCAATTCCCAAACTCAAAACTATGTAGTAGAAGGTTTGAGTCGCAACCTTATTAATAAGGCATCATAAGAATGAACGTGACCAATTTATCCGTCCAATACTTTCGATCATATCGAACGTTTTGAGAGGCTAGTGAAGAAGATGCCGGAAGGGATGTCATCGTATTTTGTAAAGAGACAGGCGAACTATTCTTCCAATAGTTTTTATAACCAATATTAGTATAATTATCGTTGTTGGAAGATTTGTTTTCGGGTATTTGTTGACGGTCAAAACGAGAATTTATTAAGGCAGGCTCAAAATCAGCGAGAAAAGACATCATGAAATCAAAGTTAGAAATTTATGATGTAAAAACAAGTGTGTATAATGAAAGTATTTATAATTTTTGGGATAGTTATAATTTGAAGGGGATTTTTATGTGATTTTAACAATACTCAAATAAGACAATCTCTTACGAAAAACGATGACAAGAAAAGAATTTTTTGTTTCAAACAGGATGTATGGTAAATTGTGCATATTAATAAAAAAATGAGTTAAAAAAAAAGGAGTCCGACTAAGGGGCAATCCTAAATATGTAGCTGTCAATCGGGCAGTGTTACGATGTGCAACTAAAATAAACTTATTATGAATCACGTTCATACTTAAATTTCTAAAATTATTTGTTATAGTGAAACCTCGTCTTTATCACAGAAAATGCGCCTCATATACGTATGAATATGAACATGGAAATTCCGGATGTTACGTAAAATATTCCGGCATTTTATGTAGGCGCATTCGCCTTCTTATTCTAAAAGAATAGAAATGCTACAATCAAAACGCCAAAAACAATCGTTATTGAGCGCAATAATAATTTTTTTTTTTTACTCATTAGTTCTAATTACGGTAAGATGATTTTCTTTATTATTGTAACGAGTGATATTTACATGTGATGACGATTTTTTATACCATTCATTTCGACCATAATTTCGAAACAATAAAAATAATAAAGGTAATACGTATAATAATCCGACAAAAAATTAGATTAAAAAAAAAAAAAATTTATAATTTATAATTGTTATTGATAGCCCATTTATCTGAAACTTTATGTACCTTTTCTTCTGTTTCTAATTTAATTAAATGTAATATTATGCTTCTTTCTGCAGCTTTCCAAAGTTCATGAGGATATGCTGCATATAATACTTCTACAATTTGCATAGATGTTAAAGGGTTGTTAGATCTTTGAAGTACTGCAAGTATTTCTTGATCACGTTGTTGGCGGTGGTTAATATATTCTTCCAATTTGGCAGTACCATCTTCGACTATTGGTCCATGACCAGGATATACTCGACCTGGTGTTAATTCTTTCATTCTTTGCAAAGAGGTCATATATTCATTGAGACTTTCAAAAACTGTTGTTCCTACACCTAGTACAGCATCACCAGTAAACAATGCATTTTCTTCTTCTAAATAAAATGCGACATGATCTTCACTATGCCCTGGAGTGAAAATTGCACGGAGGTTTGTGCCATCTGTTTGATAAATTTGATTGTCTTCTATAGCTTGAAATGTGTGATGAGGTTTATCCGTTTTTGGATTCAATCGTTTATGAACAACCGGAGTGGGCAGATTATTTTCTTTTGTATATTGAAGAATGCTGTCTACACCACCAACGTGGTCTGTATGCCAATGAGTTATCAATATATCTGTGATGATTACATCTTCACCCAACTTTTTGAGTGATTCAGTTAGCGTTTGAAGATATTTCGGTTTTCCTTCTCCGGTATCGAGAAGAATTTTCCGAGAACCTGTACCGATTAGGTATGTGTTTGTACCTGGATGAAAAAAAAAAATTGCTACGTCTAAAATCACAATATGAAGGAACTTTCTTTGTAAAATAAAATGAACCTTGTAATGTAAATTTCCCTGGGTTTTCACCAAGGATACGCACAACTCTTGCAGATAATTGAGTAAAAGACGGGATTGTTTGTAGTTTTGCCATTTTTTCTTTTTCTTTTTTTTTTTTTTTGAAAGTTGAGGGTGAAAGTAGAATCGGATTTTAGCATTACCTTTTATAAATCAATTATGACTAATCAAGAAAATTGTTTCAAATTCTTCCTGCCGTGTAACAGCAGAGTTAATAATACAGTAATATGATTACTTAAGATTTAAGTACTTAATTGGTTATGATTGAATGATATGTTGTATAATAGCATATAGAATCCGATTGCCAGGTAATGCGCAGTGAGCTTTCATGTGTAAACTTTCATGTGTAAAGAAAGATCGATATACAAGCCCTCCGAGGATCCATGCTTCTAAAAATTAGTAGTACACATTGTGAATTTTGTGATGATCATTGATAATAAAAAGTGTAGTTTTCTAGTTTTCGATAATATAATATACCGTATTCGAGCGGAGGTCTTGAAAGTGCATAAGGAGAGTATCTTCCTGCATTGTAAATACAATTTCCAATTATAAAATATAAACTTCGTAATCGCAATGCAAGAAAATGCTCTCCTTATGCAAACTCGGGTTATACTCGACGCAGCTGTTAAGCTCCGTATTCGATGATTTAAAGCATTTTGGGAAACAGACCAAATTAGCTTTTTATGGAAATGACTACAGGATTGCTTGGTTTGCTTGGTAATCAATTATAACACGGTTTGCTTGGTAATCAATTATTGTTATAACACGGCGAACCCTTATAGCATTTGCACAGATGATGTCATATTTACCCTGAACTTTTGTCATAGTGCATTACATAGTCGATGAATCATTTTTACGGTTCTGGCGAACGATAATTAAAGATTAGCAAACACTAATTTTAATTCGGACTAAACTGTCGGCGAAATAGGCTGTTGAGAAATGGCTGTCGAAGAGATGGTAAAATTCATCAAAACAATTCATTAGTAATACTTCAGTGGCTTTGTTCTTACATACCAGAATGCCTGTTATTTAATTTATAGAAAGATATTTTGCTTCATATCGGCGAATTTGCGCAATTGAGCCTAAATTAGGGTCAACAATGTGATATAAAACAGACACAAATTGTCAGCTACGTATTATGCATCCTATAATTGTTACCGGTAAACCCAATTCCGCAAATCTGCCGACATGTTTCCCATAGGTCTTTTTAGTGCTTTCTTTCTCAATGACAGAAAAGATATTTGCCTACTTTTATTTTCCTTTTTCTTGAGCGGGTTTGCCTATTGTTTCCTCTAGTTTTGATGACACATTTCACATTTCATAGTGGTTGAACTTTCGATTTGACTGGTTGGTTTGTGGATATTGAATCTAAAACTTATGACGAACCCATAGGTTTATGACAACCATTGACTTGGCTCTTGATTCAAGAAAGGTTTTCAATCAGAATTTTTAGAGAATTCTTATTATCACAATGTTTTATTTTAACTTTAACAGTGTTTTGTCAAGTAATATAATAATAATAACTCGTAAATGCTTTACATTATTTATTTTATTACTTCTCTAATGAACAAAAAAAATCACTTTATACGAATGGTGTCATTGATTTTCTTCTTACTTACATCATAGCATAGGTACAAGTTTATTATTTTATTTTCCACCTTCGTTTCGATATTAACGAAAAGGAATCTATGACTTACTAACATTCCATCCTTTTATACAAATTTTACTACATTTTTTATGCAACTATTGATTACGAATACGCGCATACGCACGTATTAAAATAGATAAGCTCTGCATAAACTCCCACCGATGGTTTTTAGGATCAAATTCTACTTATAATTTTCCTTCACCAATATCAACCTCACGAAAATCGGGGTTGCAGAATTGGACTGATATTAGAAAATTTCGGTTATGTTGAGAATTTTTATTTCGTGAAAAACATTTATAATTTGATATAAGTATTCATATTAATGGGTAGACTGAATTAGCCTTCGTGTTCAAACTTAATTTATTTACTTTCTAACATGGAAAAATAAAAATTCCACTCAAGATTTCCATTGCAGAATCGTACTACTTTATTTAAAATATTTATGTTTTTTTTTTTTTTTTTTTGATTATATTATATCACATCACATAACAAAACAACAGTGGATGTTTAACAGAAATCTTAAGTTCATGTTCACGTAATGCCGGAAAATTCTTTTTCTGTTATATATTGGGGTTAACGTTATAATAGAATTTGGTGATATTTCTGTTGGGCACAAATAGAGGTTTCTTATGTAAATTTTTGAAAAAAGACGTAAAAATTATTATAAATTAGGGTAATATTACGATTGCAATGGGTGAGTAGGTGTTGAAATTAAGTTATGTAATTTCTTTTTACAAGCTAGAAATTTCTTACAGCCTGAGACTTTTACAATTAATGGAATTCCTGTGATTTTCATAGGATCCAATCGAGATCCGGATCCAGGTATTAACTAAATCGAGGTTGGATCAACCCCTAGCATTACGATTAGCCTATCAAACGATCTTCTCTAGCACTACATTGTTTCCATTCAGTATATCACAAAATTCGATTTTGTCACAAATGATGATCAAAACATAACGTTAACCAATCAAAAAAATTTGATTGTGATATTTGATTTAGATGTTGATCAAAACATGATTGCTAACCAATCAAATCAATAGAAAAATTTAATATTCGAACAGACGATTTATATGATTTATTACAGTATTGTGTTTTTACTAACGAATCTTCACTTTCATTAGTATATTTTAAACAATAGTTTTATTCTGATTTTCTGCCACTGCTAGTGTC